GGTGGCCACTGCTTGTGGAGTGTTTGTGGACCTTAGAGGGAGTTTTTAGTGAGATCCAAGTGTGGCCGCCACTTGTATTGGATTTGCAGACTTTTGAGAAAGTCTTCAGCATGAGTCTAACCACTTTTGTGAGGTTTACAGATTTTGGGAAATGTCTGCAGTAGAAGCCAAGGTAGGCCTCTTGTGTGGAGGATCTGATGGAAGAGGCTCTGGCCAGGCAAGCAAGTTGGCTGGGCAGGTTCTTGGGAAATCACCAGGACGGTGTTAGCCAGGTTAATTGAAAGCACAGATCTGGTGCCCACCTTCTGGGTGTGAGGAGAGTTCCGCAAAGGAACAATGGCACCTGCCAGTGCTTCTTTCCCAGGAGGAAGTTCCCACCCACATCCCTCCAGCCCTCTCCCTGGAGTTCGTTTAGTTTCTCAGTTTAGTTTCTCCCCATCTGCCTCTGGTGCTTTTCAGCTGCTGCCTCTGCGCTGGAGCTGAGAGCCAGTGAGTTTGTGAGGAAGTGCAGGCCCTTTAAGAGGTAAGAGATCAACCGAAGGACTTGTATGCATGCATATTAGCATAACCAATGGACGCAAGATACTGGGGAGAGGGGAGACCCGGGAAAGGTCAATGGGGGAAAAAAGGAGACATATGTACTACTCTTTGTAATACTTTAAGCAATAAAATAAAATTGGAAAAAAAAAAGTAGCACCTTTGTGTCTAACAGCACTTTGTCTTTCTCAGACACAATCCCCACTGGCTTTCACAGCCAGATGTTATGGGGACTCCTCTTCCTCACACTGGTGCCCCTGGGCTGGGGAGCTTATTGTGAGGCTGTGACCCTCCACTCCACAGCGGAGACCTCTGCAGCTCAGATACCTCTTCTGTTTCTTAAATGCCACACCGGGGGTGTTGGACCTGCTTGTTCGGTGTCTCCACTCCTCCTTCCAGTGCTGATGTGGCTTCTTTATATCCTTAGTTATAGAACTTCTGTTCAATTGGTTTCAGGTGGTTTTCAGTGATAGTCGTTCTATAAATTAGTTGTAATTTTGATGTAATCATGAGAGGTTGCAAGTTCAGAGTTTACCTGCTCTTTCATCTTGAGCCTCTTGGTAGTTCTATTTTAAATTTTTAAGGACCCCCCATACTGTTTTCGATAGTGGCCGCACCAATTTACATTCCCACCAACAGTGCGCAAAAGTTCCCCTTTCTCTATATCTTAGCTTGCTACTTATCTTTTTTATCATAGCCATTCTAACAGGTAGGTTTCATTTGCATTTCCCTAATAAAAACAACTGAGGTTGTTGTTTTTAAAATATATTTTTATTGATTTCAGAGAGGAAGGGAGAGGGAGAGAGAGATAGAAACATCAATGATGAGAGAGAATCATTGACTGGCTGCTCCCTGCATGCCCCCAACTGGGGATCGAGCCTGCAACCCGGACATGTGCTCCTGACTGGAATCGAACCTGGGACCCCCTGGTCTGCAGTCCATCGCTCTATCCACTGAGCCAAACCAGCCAGGGCAACAACTGAGTTTTTAATGTTAATCTTGTGACCTGAAACTTTGTTCAATTAATTTGTTAGTTCTAATAGATTTTCTGTGGATTCATTGGGATATTCTAGATGTAGGATCATGCCATTTGCAAATAGTAGTTTTACTTCTTCCTTACCAATACTTTTTTATTTCTTTTTCTTGCCTAATTGCTTTACCTAGAATATCTTGTAAACTGTTGAATGATCGATTTTCTTATTTTTTAAAATTTGATCTTTATTGTTGAAAGTATTATTATTTTCAACCACCTCTGCATTCCTGGCATAAATCTCAGTCATGATGTATAACTTTTAAAATGCTTCATTAGATTCAATTTACTAGTATTTTGTTAAGGAACTTGCACCTATATTGATAGGGGATATTGGTCTGTATTGTCTTTTCTTGTCTTTATCAGCTTTGGTATCAGAATATTTCTGGTCACATAAAATGTGTGAAGAAGTATTCTTTCAACTTTTACTTCTTCATCCTCACTTGAGGACATTTTTCCATTGATTTTTTTTTTTATTATTTTGAGAGAGTGGAAGGGAGGAGGAGAGACAGAGAGAGTAACATTGATGAAACACATTAATTAGTTGCCTCCCACACACGGATCAAGCCTGCAACCAAGGTACATGCCCTTGACTGGAATCAAACCCGAAGCCCTTTAATCCACAGTCTGATGCTCTTTCCACTGAGGCAAACCAGTTAGGGCCCTCAACTTCTATTTCTTGGGAGACTTTGAGGATTGATGTTAATTCTTTAAATTTTTGTAGCCTTCACCAGTGAAGACATCTGGTCCTGGACTTTTGTTGGGATGTTTTGATCATTGCTCAGTCTCTTGCCATAGGTCTGTTGGAACTTTCTATTTCTTCTTGAGTATTTGGGTAATTTGTTTCTAGGAATTTGTCCATTTCATCTAGTTTATCTAATTTGTTGGCATATAGCTGTTCATAATATTCTCTTGTTTTTTTTGTGTGTGTGTGTTTTTTTTTAATCTCTGTAGGGTTAGTGGTAACATCCCTACTTTCATTTCTGATATTAGTTATTTGTATTTTCTCTCTTTGTTAGTCTGGCCAAAGGTTTTTAAATTGTTTATCCTGTTAAAAACACACACACACAATTTTATTTGTAAATTATCTGTTGTTTTAATTTTGCTTACTTTGATTTAACTTGCTCTTCTTTGTCTAGTTTTATATGGTTTAAAGTTTAGATTACTAATTTAAGATTTTTTCTTTTATTGACATTTACAAATATAAATTTCCTTATAAACAGTGCTTTACCTGTACTCCAGAAGTTTGGGCATGTTGTTCTTATTTTTATTATACTCAAAATATTTCTTTCTTTTCCTTTGAATTCTTCTTTTTTCCCATTTGTTATTTGCAAGCATGTTAATTTCTATATATTTGTGAATTTCCCCCAATAGTCCTATTATTGATTTCTACTTTTATTTCATGTAAGAATGTATTTTTATAATTACAATTTTAAATTTACTGTGATTTGTTTTATGGCCAAATTTATAGTCTGTCAACAGCTCTACATACTTGAAAATAATGTGTATTCCTGTACTATTGAGTGTTTTTAGATGCCTGTTAGGTCTGGTTATTTTATAGAATTTTTTTAAGTCTATTTCCATGTTGATCTTTATTGTTTTATCCTTATTGACGCTTTATCTTTCTCTTCCTCAAACTAGATAATCTCAAGTGACATATCTTTGAGTGAATCTCCTTGCTGAATTTTTCATTTTTATGATGGTACTTATTATATTCAGAACTTCTGTCTTTTTAAAATAATATTTGTCTATTTTTATATTCTCTAGTTGTTGAAACTCTGAAGTTTTTTGGGTAAAAAAACACACCAGAACTTAGTGAATTTTTGTGGAGTAGATCTTGGAAGCATGGATTTTTAGGTCTCCCAACAGTGAATGTTAACAGAGATAAAGGCCCAGAGTTCTCTATGTATAATTTGGCCTTGTTACTTAAGTTGGGGCTCAGGACCAGCAGCAGGGGCATTACCTGGAGCTGGTTAGAAATGTAGAATTCAATCCCCACCCAGATCCACCAAATCAAAAACTGCATTTTCACATATGATCTCCAGATGATTTCCATGCACGTTGAAGTTTGAAAAGCAATGGGCAAGGGCATGGAATCCACACTTTCAGAGCCTCAAGGTACCATGCACCATTATTTCCAGAAGAGCAATTTGGCATTTACTTATAGGACTTTGGTAAATACCCATCTTCTTCTCGAAATTGAAACCCACAAAAGGAAGTCTGCTTTCTGTTGTATCCCCAAGCCAACAGCAGTAAGTACTCAAAAATCTGTCCAAATAAAAATAAAGTAAAATGAACTGGACCCTGGAATCTCATACTTATCTGCTGCCTCCAAACCCCAACTTTAAATAGGTTTCAAAAGTGGTTTAATTTAATTTTTTTGTCAATTACAGTTTATTTTCAATATTATTTTGTATTGGTTTCAGGTGTATAGCATAGTGGTTAGACAGTCATATACTTTATAAAGTGTTCTCCCCAATATTCCCAGTACCCACCTGGCACCATGCATAGCTATCATAATATTATTTTTAAATTTCTTAACATATTCAGAAAACATAAGCTTTCTCAGATCTCCTAAGAATGAGTAAGAAGCACCTCTGAGATAAGGGAACTTCAGTTTTTCTTTACCTTTTGCTTAAAGTTTGTGTTTATTCAAAACTTAAGTGTCCTAGCTGCTAGTATTGGAAAGAAAGAAGCCATTTAACCATTTCTCTATAATTTTGTAGAACAGATTTTTAATCTTGCATCTCATTAACTTTTTCTTTATAGTTTTCTCCATTAGAAAAGGTTGTTGGAATATGAGTAAAATGTCATAAATAAAATCAACACTAGTAAAAAGGCTTTTCATATAATCTACACTAATAAAAGAGGAAGATGCAAATTGACCATACCTTCGCGATGCCCACCAGCCAATTAGGAATGAGTATGCAAATTAACCCAACAAAGATGGTGGGTTAATTTGCATACACTGGTGCCAAGCAGCCAGGGGCGGGGCAGGACTCAGGCGTTCTGCACCGCCCCAGCTGCTCCAGGCCTCTGGGCAGCGTGGGAAGGTGCAAAGATGGCTCTGGCTGGAGTGAAGGCGGTGCCGGCAGCCAGGGTAAGGAAGGCTGATTCTTGCACGAATCTTCGTGCATTGGGCCTCTAGTTTATATATATTTATATATTTATTTATAGCTTATATTGCTTTTCCATAAAAACATTTGAGGCAAATGTTTACAACTAAGTGAGATATAAGAAAACCAAAGTAATTTGCTAAGGTATGGCCTGTGTTATATGAACAGATTACTTTCCCTGTCCATGTTGCTGAATAATGACCTCATATTTTATAACCTAGAAAGCATAATAATGTGGGCAATTATCTTTATCCCCAATCAGGCAAGCAGTAAATATCCTCCCAATAAAAAATAACTCAAAACAATAAGAAACGAACTACCAGTATTATTAACAGTGTTTTTATTTACAAAGAATTATTTATTTGGCTGTTTGGGAAACCACTGACATTTTTCACTTTAGAAAACATTAAATAATAAACAAGATGTTATACAGTACTTTGGATAACTTCTTCCATCAGTTTAGTGCAATGCATTATTGGCACCTAAAAGTGAAATTTTCAATTATTTTCCCCTTTCATCTTCAGTTGTGCAGTTATATGACCCAAAAGGAAAAGAATCATTAAAAAGAGCTCTAAAGCCATATTTGCTGGCCCCTACTCAAAGGCTCACTGATTTATCCTCCCCTGCTGCCCTGCCTCCACCAAGTTAAATGACAAAAGATAATATAGGCATACTATAGTAGGTATACTATTATACCTGTTGTTCAAAAAAACCCATTACCACTGGGGAACTTGGGAGATTCAATTGATAAAGAGAGAGTGAATTATACAAATTAGGTGAAGGAAAAGGCCTGGCAGTTGTGTGGGGCATGGTACTCGGTATCAGTAGCCAAGTTAAGTTGTCACACACATTGCAGAGAGAATGCACCAGTTAAAGTCTCTGTACACTGTGCTCCTTGCTATGGTCTTTAAAAATCGGAAGCATTGTCCATTGAGCAAATGAAAGGGTTATACCTTTTTCAAGAAAAACAAAACAAAACACATTAGAACATTGAAATACTAAAACATCTGCCTATTATACTCTCTTTTTGGAATAAAATATATATATATATGTTTTTTTTTCTTTTTTTGTTTTAATACTGCTAGGTTTGCCATAAAGGGAAAGCTCAGCATTTGGTGGGCTTGTCCCCTTTTGATTTCTCTCCATTAGAAGCCAAAGAGGGAAATGCCTAAATTAAACCCAGGCCTAGTCCAAATTACTTAGTCTGGAGATTTTTCACTACACAGTAATAGGAGCAAAACATATTTTGGGAGATTGTGTAATCTATTACTCTTTCTTAAACACCCTTAACCACCTTAAATAGACAAAGTTTTATCTAATTTTTTAAAAGCCTCTGAGCTAGAGAGAGACACTCCTTTATAAGGGATTTTGGGATTCTAATTTAACAACTGTCCCTGCCAGCAAATGCTCCCTCATACTCTGGTCTAAGCCTGTTTCCTCTTGTTCTATTCTTAGTGCCTGTGGAGAACAGCTGGCCACCATCCTCTCTGTACCAGCCCTTCAGGCACTGGGAAACCAGCAATGGTTTGCCCCTCAGTCTTCTCTTCTCCAGGCTAAATAATCCCAGTTCCTTTACTTTTTCACCACAGATCTTTTATTCCAACCCTTTAATCATCTTTGTGATTCTGGGCAAAAACAGCAGAAAATATGTTGATTACTTAATCAGAAGTGAGGAAGAGTCTCAGTAGTAAGCTGCATTTTAAAAACGATATTCTTTTTAATATAAAGTTAAAAAATGCAAGGAGGACATATATTAGTTGAGGGTCCTTCGATCTCAGAATGCCAATCCTGCCCCGTTGCTCTAGTGTGTAAGTGAGTCCTATTCCAACACACTTACTACCTCAAAGCCCGGGCCTACCCCACCCCATGCTGACTTGGTAGCACCTAAGTTGTGAGCTAGATCCACCTATGTTTATACTGATTTAAAAATTAGTATGAAATCCATTCCAGGAGAGCTGCTCCCAGCTTCTCCCCAGCCTGCTCCCATAAACAGAACCCTTCCTCTGAAACGGCGGGACTGTCTCCAAGGTCTTACAGGTTACCAAGGAGAACCGTGTTATTCCGGGGAACGCCGTCGGTTTTTAAGTGAGAAACAGTGCGGGTTTTATGTGCTAGGTGCAGCTTCCTGTCTATCTAAATCGGTGGTTCTCAACCTTCTGGCCCTTTAATTACAGTTCCTCATGTTGTGATCCAACCATAAAATTATTTCTGTTGCTACTTCATAACTGTAATGTTGCTACTGTTATGAATCGTAATGTAAATATCTGATATGCAGGATGGTCTTAGACGACCCCTGTGAAAGGGTCGTTCGATCGCCAAAGGGGTCGCGACCCACAGGTTGAGAACCGCTGATCTAAATGGTTTACTCTCCTGTGTAGGGATCAAACTCAAGGTACTTAAAACATTCATCCCTCCACTGCCACAACCTGACACCATTTCCAAAGTTCTCTTGCTACCGATCAAAGGTCATAGGACTGGACAACATTTCACCGCGTATTTTTAATTCAAGAGATCACAAGCTGCCTTTTCCCTTGCAACTGGAGTCGGTAAATATCAGGAACACGCAACTGCGTCATATCAATAGCACATTTACACAAAACACAATACCACTAACAAGGAATTACGTGCCCACTTTACATAACTGTCTTTAAAAGAAAAATACAGATAACAAGAATAAATGCATTTTGATATGTTACACACCCTTCTTTCATAAAGTGAATGGCAGTAAAAGAGGTCAGGCCAGTCCAGAGCTAACAGTGAAGACGAGAAACAAAGTTCACAAGCACATTGTACAGCGTATCTTAGGGGAAGTCAATACTACTCGTGGCACGACACTGGACAGATAACAGAATGGCCATCCGCACGAATTTCCTTTGAAAATGTCCCCCATACTTCGCTACAAGGAACACCTGTCACCAGGATGAAGGATGGCATAGGTCTCACATGCTGAAGCCAGTTCCTACGGGATGTAGGTAGCACCCACAGACAGCTTGCATGTGTCTAACCAATGTCCCTTCTATGTCAAAGGGAGTGTCACTGTCCATTGGGATTGCACAAAAACAGGCCAAGATGTGGGTCAACAACCAGGCTTTCTCTGACCCACTGACCCACTCTTCTCCGAGGCCTGACAGAAGGGAGGAGAAGACAGGAGGTGAAGATCAGAAAAAGAAGAGGGAGCAACACAGGAGTTCACTGCTAGTTGCGGAGCTGCACGCGTTCTTCATAGCAGTGGCCTCTTTTCAAGCTCACGTCATCCAATCCAATCTCCCCAGTGTGGCCACGCCTCTTTTCACCTTTGAAGATGACCTAGGGAGAGAACACACACACACTGGTCAAGCCTCCTCTGCCCTTCCCCAGGCCGGCTCATTCAGCAGAATAAAGGCAAGCTTCCCCCAGGTCTAAACAGTAAACTGACTTAACAGAAGGAAAGACTAGAGAACAGTGTCACCTGAGGCCTGCGTTCTGGTAGAAACTGAAATCCCCAGAAACTGTGCATCAGACCACATTACTCAGAACCAGTTACCCTTTAAAAGCCACACTAAACTACAGGCTGCTTCTGTCAACGATTACCAAGGTCAGAAGTAAAAAGACAGTGATGGCACGTAGAGGTGCGGACGTAGAGCCGAAGTCTAAAAGATCACTGCCATGCAGCCTCCTCTGACGCTGCCTAGCTCCTCCACTGGGCTCATGCAGCTTTGCTGCCAAATGGAACAGAGGCCAACGCCATAAGCCCGTCGCAGCATTGTTCTACTTGTGCACAGACCAAGAACTTCCACTATTCTTGCATTTTATCTTTGATAGCATCCTTGCTCCTTTCCAAAACAAATGCAACCTGTCCCTGCTGTGATTTACCTTTTTAGTTCTTTAAAAATATATATGTATATTAAGAAAAATTTTAAGAAAAAATCAGAGTAACATAAAATTTAAGACTCTGGTAAAAGCTGTATTAATGGAGCCTACCTTTTCTTTCTAAAAATGTTTACAGAAACTATACCTACAAGCATAGATGCAGAATCTCCTCATAGTAATAGTTTTAGAAGCAGCAACGTAAAGAAGACACATCCCAAATAAGTTATTTCGATGAGGTGTTACAGATCACCTCCTTGCTACCTGTGACTTGGTTAGTTAGGATAAAATTTATATATTCAGTCAAGCTTTCCCACATCCTGTCCTGAGCAGAACAATATCCTTCAAGTCTATTGCTCTGGATCCCACCCAAAGCTGCTTAACTATGGTCTCTCAGGCAAAGAGGGAACAATGGATTTTAAAGAAACATTTTGGAGAAAACCACTTTAGGGTAACTCATGGTGGTCAGAGTTTAAAGTATAAGGAAGGAAAGGAAAAGTAAGACGAGTTAAGCTCAGCACCCCTGCCCTTTGAAGTTTCTCTTGATTAACATTTTTACTTTAATTATTCATTTTTTTCAATAAAAGTAGGGGATCTACCCTAGGGTGGGGAGAGTGGTGGTCCTCAGAGGTTATAATGAAGAATGTAATAAGAAGCAAAAAGGGATTAAAGAAAGAGGCAAGGAATGGAGTTGTCATGCCCAGAAAAACACACGAAACTCTGTCTGAGCCCGAGTTACCAAGTAGAGCAATTCGGACCCCAGGCTTCTCCTATGAGAGGAAAACCTCTCAGGTCCACGTCCTTTGCGGTTCTACTTACGCTCTTGATGCCAGCCCCTCGCAGGCTGATCTGTGTTTGCCTCCAGCCATGGCCACCATTTCTTCCCCACAGGGCTGCTCCGTGGGCCCCCTGTTTTCTCACAAACACCTGGAGCGCGCCGGAGTGCAGCCCAGTGACCCTGTGCCTGAACGACAGACACAGATCCCCTGACTGCATGAGGTGGCCCAGGGGCAGCACCAGGCGAGCGGCTTTCCCCCGGGGGCCCTTGGCTGCGGAGACGGCCAGGTACTGTCCACCTGCAATGGGAAAGCAGGGCCGTGTGTGTACCTGTGACATTCCTTTCCAGCACAAACAGTATGGACAGTCCTAATCAACCTCAAAGTCATTGGCAAAGAACCCCATGTTACTGCAGGAGAAAACCATGGCTTATTTCTATGCCTGTCTCAGATCCCATGGTTTTGTGTTTACAGAAAACACTCACCCATTGTGCTCACGGAGAGGACAAGTTCTGCCAAGGACACACAGGAATAAGTAGTCCTAACACTGTGACAGCTTCCAGTGGAATAGGATCAGACACACACAGGCAACACAAACCACACACTTTCACCACCTCCTGGTCCTCCCCAGGTTATGATGATGTTGTCAAGCCGGCTGGCTGATTAGGTGGCTGATGCTAAGTTGCCAGGGAGAATTTTTCTACATGGATAATTAACCTCCAGGCAGTAGAGCAGATGTGGTTTAAAGGGCATTAAATCTGTTTATTATCTCTTCTCCCTATTTTTATTTATTTATTAACTCTAGAGAGAAAACCCTTCAACAATGCCAGAGCTTGCCCTGGCTGGTGTGGCTTAGTGGGTTGAGCGTTTTCCTGTGCACCAAGAGGTCGCCTGTTTGATTCCCAGTCAGGGCACATGCCTGGGGATGCGGGCTTGATCCCCCCAGGGGGGCTGTGCAGGAGGCAGTGGGCCAATGTTTCTCTCTCTCACTGATATTTCTTCTCTCCCTCTCCCTTCCTCTCTAAATTCAATCCCATATAATAAAAGGCTAGTATGCAAATCGACCGAACAGCAGAACAACCAGCCGCTATGACATGCACTGACCACCATGGGGCAGATGCTCAATGCAGGAGCTGCCCCCTGGTAATCAGTGCGCTCCCACAGGGGGAGCACTGCTCAGCCAGAAGCCGGGCTCATGGCTGGTGAATGCAGTGGTGGTGGCAGGAGCTCCTCCCGTCTCCACAGCAGTGCTAAGGATGTCCGACCTGGATGGAGCGGGCCTAAGCCATCAATTGGACATCCCCCGAGGGATCCCTAACTGCAAGGGAGCACAGGCTGGGCTGAGGGACTCCTCCCCCCATGCATAAATTTTGTGTACCGGGCCTCTAGTAAAAACATATTTAAAATAAAACTAAACAACAACAAAAAGCCAGAGCTTGGTATGCTTCTCACACTGGAGTGCAGCTCACCCCAGGAAGATGCAGAGGTGTTCTGGAAACCCTCCACTTCCTGGAACATCAGCTTTATTTAAAGATAAGCAGCTTTCGCCGAAACCAGTTTGGCTCAGTGGATAGAGCGTCGGCCTGCGGACTGAAAAGCCCCAGGTTCGATTCCGGTCAAGGGCATGTACCTGGGTTGTGGGCACATCCCCAGTAGGAGATGTGCAGGAGGCAGCTGATCGATGCTTCTCTCTCATCAATGTTTCTAACTCTCTATCTCTCTCCCTTCCTCTGTAAAAAATCAATAAAATATATTTTAAAAAAAAGATAAGCAGTTTTCAATGTGTTACATAATAACAAATATATAATAAATATAATATTTTTTATTACATCTACATGAACACAAAGTGTTAATAAAAACTGTCACTTTGGGCGGACACTTTGTCCTCAGATCCCTGGGGTCATAGAACATGCCTCCCCATTGTTAGAGGAATTGCTATTAGGGGGGAAAGTTTGAGCAGCAGTGAGTGGGGGGAGAGCTGCTTCTCAAGAGAAAGTTACAAGTAGTATTTGAAGCTCCATCCAAGTACAAATGACATTCCTCTCAGGCTGTTGAATTGGAGCCAACTGAAAACACACTGTTTCAGCACCGATTTATCCACAGGAAACTGGTGTGAATGCTGAACACATGTATGTATTTTGGTAGAAACCCCACTTATTTTTCAATGAAAAGACAACCACTTATTTTTATGCTTAATTTGTATCAGAGATGCTAAAGTTTGGGTTGTCTTTTTTTAAAAATATATTTTATTGATTTTTTACAGAGAGGAAGGGAGAGAGCTGGAGAGTTAGAAACATCAATGAGAGAGAAACATTGATCAGCTGCCTCCTGCACACCTCCTACTGGGGATGTGCCCGCAACCCAGGTACATGCCCTTGACTGGATTTGAACCTGGGACCTTTCAGTCCACAGGCCGACGCTCTATCCACTGAGCCAAACCGGTTTCTGCTGGGGTGTCCTTTTATTTGTCAAGTGACTTCTCCTCTCCCACGTGCGCTCTGAGCAGTGGCAGGACCAGCAGGTGATGTCTGGGCCCGTAATTCTGTACCAGGCTGTGCTGAGTGCTCCTGGGGCATCTCATGAACCCTGAAGGCTGGCTTTACAGATGCAGAGTAGGGCTTTGAGGTGAGGTCACGCAAGGTGTCACCCAGTGAGTGGCAGAGTGAAGGTTTGAGTTCAGAACTGTCTGACCTCCGTATCCGGCACGTGCTGCCCTCAGGTTGGATCACTGCTGTGCCTGCTTCTCTCCCCCAGGAGATGTCAGAACCCACAGTTGCCCCAAGCCACCCCAGGGCATCCCTAGCACATGGTAGGAGTGTAATGCCATCTGTTGAATAAATGATGTTCTAAGAAGACAGAAGAAAAAAAACCTGCAAAGAAATAGGTCCTTGAGTCATATACTTGACTCACCAACAACAAACACAATTTCTTATCCTCAGTCCACCCCCGCTCCCCCCATTAATCCAAATGGCATTTTAGGCCAAAATATTTAGATGGATTTTAAATGTCTCCCCATAAGTCAGTTTTTGAATTGTCACAGGTATTTTCCTTAAAACTAAGATATAAGGTTATTACAGTTAAACCTGCAAGTTTTAAGAAAACAAGGATTATCTTGAGTCTCTGTGGAATGTATACTAACATGACTGCAAGACGCTGCCTGCGAATAAGACAACCTAACAAACCAAGGCAGCCTAGTAAGAGTCAAATAATCTTTTTAGAGGCAATTAAAACCCTAACGTGTAAAATATGAGCAAAGAGGCTACTGTTGCTCTCCCTCCATGGAGCTGCTCTGAACATTTTTGCAGTGTAATAACTTATGTTTTTTCATAAATATATCAGCCATTTTTTATGACAAATACATTTTTCATAGCAGTTTGTCATTAATAATTTAGCCAGTTTTTTACTGAAGAACATTTAAGTTGTTTCCAGATTTTCACACTTAAGATAATACCATAAAGTAGTAAGACAAGCAAAAAAAAAAAAATAAAACAAAAATTTGCAACACATGAAATAGGACTAAGTTTCCTTTTCACATAAAGAGCTCAAAAATCAACAATAAAAAGAACACAAAAGAAAAATAAAAAGCATCTCAGAAAAAAGGACTTTTAAAATGTGAATAAATGGTCAGCTTTTCACAATAAAATAACATTAAAACGAGATGACTTTCTACCAATAAGCTTGGTAAAGATTTTAAAAAGTAGTTTAATAAGATCTGTGTTGGGGCGGTCCTTAAATATTGTTTGGAGGAGTATAAATTGCTATAACCCGTATGAAGGGCAACTCAGTAAAATCTATCAAAATTCAAGATGCAAGTTCCCTTTGATTGGCATTCCACATCTAGGATAAGACGTATTCAGACACGTCTGAAATGATATGTGTATAAGGTTTTCACTGCAGTCTTGTCTGAAAACTGGAAACACTGGAAGACTGGAAACAATGGAAATGTTCCTCAGTGGTTAAACACAAGGGAACATCTAGGGAATAATGGAGTAACTGTCATTAATAAGAATGAGGGTGTTCTGTATGTTCTGATATAGGACAATCTTCAACAACAATGGCTAATGCTATTTTAATGGTAACTCGGGGACAGGCACTGTTTTAAATATGTTGAATAGATGCTATCGATTATCCTCGGTTAGGTAACGTGCTCAAGGTCAAAGCTAGTAAGCTGTGGGTGCTGGGTTTCAGCCCAGGCATTCTGTATTTGAAGCTCGATCCAAGTACAAATGACATTCCTCTTTCAAGTCCTTGTTCTTCATGTCAACTCAGCGTGATATCCTTAAGTGACAAAAGCAAGGTACGTAAGAGGGTGCTTTGTGGTTGTATGGACAACTATATCTCTGGAAAGATAACCAAGAAACTGGTTGTATCTGGGAGGGTAACTGAGAGCCAGGGCTGAAAGGCAGCTTGTATCTTCACTGTGGATTTATTTTTCCGTTTACAATTTTTCAAAATAATGCTTTTTAATGCTGCACCAGACATACTTGTACGTACACGCTGGCATGCTTGTTATGTGTTTAAGTGAATTCCTTGCAGCTAGCAGTAGCAGACAGGGCACTGAATCAGCCGTCTTTAACCCATGATCCCCACTGATCAGAGTTCCAGGAAAAGGGCCTCAGGTGCAGCCTTGACATCTATGGAGAAGGGTGTGTCTTCAGGGCCACCGCTACATGCCTGCTGTGAATCACCAAATCTGTTGACAGCACAACTTTCCATTCCTTAGAGCAGTGGTTCCCAATGTGGGGCACATGTCCCACAGGGGGTCAATTTAACTTTTAAGGGGGGCGGGCAATTCAAGAATGAGTTATTAACAGTGAATTTTTTGCATTTCTTATGGTTCTAGGGGCCTCATATACAGTATGTCTATATATATAAAGCCTAAGCAACCGGCCAGCTGGTAGCTATGATGTACATTGACCACCAGGAAGCAGATGCTCAATATAGGAGCAAAAACCACAGGCATGGAAACATGGAACAGACTGATGAATCTCAGAGGGGGGAGAGGAAGGGGAAGGGCGGGAAGAGATTAACCAAAGATCTTATATGCATACTAGAGGCCCAGTGGGGTCCCTCGGCCTGGCTTGCTGGGATCAGGCCAAAACTGGCTCTCCGACATCCCCCAAGGGGTCATGGATGGTGAGAGGGTGCAGGCCAGGCCAAGGGACTCCACTGGTGCACGAATCCGTGCACCGGGCCTCTAGTAAATATATATTGTGACATATTTATGCATTTCAGTTCTCTATCATATGTTTTGAAACTTTATTTGCTATTTTTTCATATCACTTCATATCATTTTTTTAAAACAATTTCTTAGTGATTTCTTCCTCAGTACTTCAACTATCCTTTCATTCTTTTATTTTTCTCTTTCATGGATGCCATGTTCTTTGGAAGCTTGTTTAGACCAAGTTAATGGCTTTTTGGGATTCCTCCATGTGAATAGGAGTTCACTTTTTGAATACAGTAATAAGAATTATGTGTCACGGGGGGAGGGGTGGTAATCAGGATTTTAGAGATGTTTAGGTGGGGCATGGCCAAGAAAAGGTTGGGAGCCACTGCTTTAGAGGAATGTATTAATTTCACTATCTCACAATTAAGTTTAAGATTGAATGTGATAAACACAATCCAATGAGCTCAAGGGAGGCCAGCTAGCAAATGCAATCATTTTACAGCTGTTTCTCAAAGTTGTAAATTTATTTGAGAATTTTCTTTTCTTGGAGATATTAGCATAAAAGAATATTTGCATTTCTGGATCTTGGATAAGAAATGCATATTAAAACCAGTCTTAACTGTGGAAATCCAAACATATCTTCCTTTTCAAATGGTATAATTTAGGTAGAAACAATTTAGAAACAGCTAGCTTGGTAATTAGAGAATTCACAGATATAATTCATCAAATCGCTTATATTTATATACATACAACCTCACCTAAACTTCCTAGAAGAAAAACAGGCAATCTTCCTAAGAAGCTTAATTAGTATTTCTCCATCAGTATGTGGTTAGAATTCCCCACCACAGTCTGAAAAGCCCATCTGCAATGCCACCTTGATCCAGGCCATGCACTCCTAACACTCTTCCAACCCTCTGCCCTCCTTGGGTCTCCTGCCCATCTTCCAAGCTGGAGCCCTGCTGCTCACTGCTCTCCTGTGGATTGTCTGGGCGTTCCATTCTCAGTCAGAGGCTCTCAGAGCTGGCGGAAGACGTTTTCTAACCCAATGCTTATCCAGTGCTCAAAACATCTTGCCACATGTTACCACCGACAGAGAGCTCCTTACTTTGAACAGCCTGAGCTCTTTTTAAACAGCCCTGACTGTGGGGAAGTTCTGTAGAGAGTGAGCCAAAGTTCATCTCTCTATAGTTGTCACCTACTGATCTGACGTCCATCCCTCTGTGGTCACAGAGCAATGGTGATAGACGTTGTCAGTCAAGTACAAAGGCAGCCCTGTTCCTGTTTCTTCTCCAGGCTAAACACTCTGGTCCCTTCCCCTGCTCTTGCACAGGCTTTGGGACCCCTCTCCACCCAGGTCTTTCTGAATGACTGACACTTATCTCTATTCTTCTCAGACAAGAAAGAACCCACCAAAATGGATTTTCTATTCTGGGGGGAGAGGGGAGGAAAGACCATATTTCTTGGGAAATGATCCAACATTTTGGCAGTAACACAGGGTTCAGTGCTCGCTTTGGCAGCACATCTACTAAAGTTGGAACGATATAGAGATTAGCATGGCCCCTGCACAAGGATGACATGCAAATTTGTGAAGCGTTCCATATTAAAAAGAAAAAAAAAAACCACACAGGGTTCACTCATTGATTTCATTATCCACTAAAATTCTAAAGTCGTGCACACTTACTGCTAAGGCACTTCTTCCCCTCCCATGGTAGGTTTCTAGACCATGAGCCCTACCTTGTCCTCATCCTCATTAGATTTCACCCTCTTCAATGAGACCCGCGGATCTAATGTTGTGGAGCCGGTGTGTCAGCACAGCTCCACACGTTCTCCTCTGGCTTCGCGCCAACCAGTTTGGGAAGCCTGCCTTCAGCAGCCAAATTCAACAGCCAGCTCATCCCGGTCACTGGTAAAACCCTGGAGCAGCCCCAGAAGGTCACGCACACTTCCCCAGGCGCCATCCAGGCACACCCGGCAGCCACCATCCAGGCACACCCGGCAGCCACCGCTGCCTTTCCATTGGTTCTGTGCTATCACAGCCAAATCACCATTTCCAACTTTTTTTTGCCTGCCATTTTAATTTCCAATCCTCTTCTCATTTTTCTATCAGAGGGCAAGTGGAATTTGGGTCACAACAAGTCTAAACATTTACCTATGAGATGAATAATAAAAAAAATGTTTAAAAGTACTAAATTGGCTCTATAATATGGTATCGAAATTCTAAAAATCAATAATTTTACTATCAACATAGACTACGTAGATGTGTAATGAATTCTTTTGAGTTTATTTAGCATACTAACAAACTACTCTCTCCAGTGTACTTGACTTGAAAGGGTTATTCATTATGACCATGAACATGCATGGCTGCTAACGATCCTTTCTTTGGTAGCAAACTACTTCAGGTCAGCGGTCAGTTGAATCCACAGGCCTGAGATCTGCTCACGGACCATGTGCGCTACCATAGGAGACGGAGGCCAGTCTGTGAGGGAGTGAAGACCCCAGAACACGCCTGGCTGTTCCGGATACTGGACTGCCTCGGAGGCTGCGTGGGCAGCTCAGAGAGGTCTGGATGTGAAGTCCGTTGTTTTGCTCCGTGGACTTAGGGAATTTATGTACACTCTGGGCCTCAGTATTTCCTTTGTGGAATAAAAACAATATTTAACCTGCTTCACATGGTGGATAAAAAGATATTAAATAAAATTAATAGCCGAAACCGGTTTGGCTCAGTGGATAGAGCGTCGGCCTGCGGACTGAAAGGTCCCAGGTTCGATTCCGGTCAAGGGCATGTACCTGGGTTGCAGGCATATCCCCAGTAGGAGATGTGCAGGAGGCAGCCGATCGATGTTTCTCTCTCATCGATGTTTCTAACTCTCTATCTCTCTTCCTTCCTCTCTGTAAAAAATCAATAAAATATATATTTAAAAAAAAAAATTAATGAGATGATGAATGACTCAAGACTGTAGTAGGTAATAATTAAATGTTGGTTTCTTTCTAATTCACAGATATATGTGACATTAATAATACTAATGTTGTCCTAATAGTCATACGGATGTAAAGTACAGGACAGGGAATACAGTCAGTGATATTATAATAACTATTAGTATGTATGGTGCCAGGCAAATACTTGAATTATCAGGGTGATCACTTTGTAAATTGTGTAACTGTCTACCATGGCGCTATAGCCTGAAACTAATGTAAAATAATATTTGGCAACTGTAATTAAAAAATAACATTAAAAATGTATAATAATATTGTCCTGCTCAGAGTTAACCTTCAATGAATGAGAGAGCTAACAGGAGAGAGGGACTGCTTTGTGTGTATGCATGCACGTTGTGAAAATAATAGCTAAAAGAAATCTAAAAAACCCATTTGAATTTATAGAATATTCCTATTTTTAAAAGCTTACCTCAAATCCTCATTGTTCAATATTTGCCTAGTATTTTAATCTTAGGGGATTTAATGAAATATTTTAGACTAACATTTTAATACCTTTCTACTTGCGATGTTCATCAAGGATTAGTGCCAAGGTATCCCCAAGGAACATGCTAGAAAGGCATCAAAATCTACATTTTCACAAGGCACTCAGCTGATTTGTACCAATGCTGAAGTTTGAGAATAACTGGTTTAACAGAGCATATCCTCTCTTGAGTTAACTTTTGTGTGTTTTCTGTTCTTTTATATAATACTTGGAATGGTATTTAACAACTAGGCTTTTAATTAACAACATCCTTTTTAGTTAACCATATACTTTTTCTTCATATATTGTCCCTTTCATTTCTAAATCTAGAAGCAGAAATATAAAAAGAAGTCAAACTTCTCATCCTTTCATTAAGTTGACATCATCCATAAAAGATTCAATTACTGAGGGGAGGGGAAAAAACAATATGTAGCTTTGCTTCCTGGAACAAGACAACAAAACATCTTGCAAGTACTAAAACTTTAGATTAGTAGGACGTGTGCAATTTAAAAGCTTGTTAATTTTCCAAGGAACTATGTCTAAATCCACCTTACTATAAGAACATTCTTTAGTGGAATAAATAATGGTCATTATAACTAATTTCTCCAGCATCCAAGTTAGATTGACATTTTTTTTTCAGAGAGGTATTCACAACTTCACAGAAATTTCGGGCTCCTTCAACTATGTCTCAAATCTTAAAAAAGTGAAAAACTGCATGATTGAGAAAACAACCAAGGACTACTACCATGGCTGATGTACTTCTTTTATGCTTGGGAATGGGGCACGACAAGTAAATTAAAAATTATAAGTTGGAACAAGCCCATGTGTTTATTTACCAAGCCTTTGAGTGAGCTACTCGCCTTCCCATAATATAATTCTAGCTGACAGCTAACAAGTGGACTATGAGTGCTGGACAAGACCTCTCTTTACCCTCTTAGAGATGTTACAGCGCACTTGACTAGCAGAACTGGGCCTTCCAAGGGGATCAACCCGACATGGGTCCGAGAGTTAAACTGGGCTTACCTGCTGGATCCCTCACTGGTTCCCAGTGCAAGTCACTGTCTTTCTCCCTGATCCATCCGCAAAGTCCATGGTCAAAATTGCAACTATGTATCAGGACACCTGCAAGGAAATGACCAGAAAGGCGAGTAAACCACAAATGAACAACAGAAACGCACTTGTTAACAAGGTTATCAGGACAAGTGTTCTCTCCTATCCACACTTCACTAACCCACCAGAACTTCTCTCCAGGAGATCAAAAGGGAATCACACGAATCCCTTCTCAGCACAATTGTGCCTGTGTGCTCAACGGTAAAAACACAGCACACAAGTGTTGCCAATTACGACCTTTTACATCATCACTTAAAAATATGAGTTCCTCCTCATCCTATCCTATATAATAAAGAGCTAATATGCAAATGGTCGTCACACCCTCACATCGTCACACCCTCACGTCACACCCTCACGCCATAACTGCTCAGACCCTCAACACTGGGGAGAGAGGAATGGGGACCAGCCAGGCTGCAGCCCCGGAGAGGGACAAGCTGCCCACCCTGCACTCTGAGGTGCCAGCAGCTGCACCTGTGCCTGTGGCCAGGGAGAGGGACAAACCGCATGCCCGCGGCTGCACCTATGCCTGCGGCCCAGGAGAGGGACAAGCCACCCGCCCCGTGGTCCTGGGCGCCTGCAGCTGTGACCCGGGTGAAGCCGCCTGCCCACAGTGCCCTGCAGCTGCGGCCGGCCTGGGAGAAGCTGGCCCAGGTCCTGGGTGCCTGCGGCTGGCCAGAGGGAGGGAAGCCCGGGTCTGGGGTGCCTGCAACCAGCCAGAGGAGGGAATCCTGGGTCCTGGGTGCGGAGCAAGGCAGAGGCGGTTAGGGGCAATCAGACCAGTAGGGGAGCAGTTAGGGGTGATCAGGCAGAGGCAGTTACGGGCAATCAGGCCAGTAGGGGAGCAGTTAGGGGTGATCAGGCAGAGGTGGTTAGGGGTGATCAGGCAGGCAGGCAAGCAGTTAGGAGCCAGCGGTCCTGGATTGTGAGAGGCAGGCAGACATTCCCGAGGGGTCCCAGATTGGAGAGGATGCAGGCCGGGCTGAGGGACTCCTCACGCAAATTTCATGCCCCAGGCCTCTAGTAATTTATATTAAATGCTGCTTTTATATATATACTCACACACACACACACACACACACACACACATATATGTAAATTTTTTTAAATATAATGATGATTTGTCCTAGATAATCTGGCTCAGTGGATAAAACATTGGCCCAAAGACTGAAGGATCCTGGATTTGATTCCAGTCAAGAGCATGTACCTTGGTTGCAGGCTCAATCCCTGATCCTGGTCAGGGCGTGTGTGGGACGCAACCAATCAATGTGTCTCTCCGCCTGTCTCTCCCCCTCCCTTAGACTCTCTTTAAAAAAATCAATGGAAAAATATTCTAGGGTGAGGACTAACAACAACAACAAAAAGATAATGACTCAATTACTTGTGCCCAACTGATAAAACAGCAGAGGAAACCAAGTTGAAAAAAAGAAGATCTATAATTTTCCTAGGTGTAACCTTACAATCTGTAATTTAAAAATTATTTTCATGAAATGGAGGAAAACAATAAAATGTCATTATAACTGTAGTAAGAATATAAGTGTCTTGGGGTGGTAAATATACCATACAATATACAGATGATCGGTTGTAGAATTGTACACCTGAAACCTATATAATTTTATTAACTAATGTCAGCCCGATAAATTCAATTTTAAATAAAATAAGCATCTACCTGGATCATCCTTTGCTTCATCGTCTGCACTGACTCCTCTTTCAATTTCAAATATTTCAAACAAATCATTTGAAGGATGCCGTGGAACTGTAAGAGAGAGAGAGGTTTTGAGAAGAGGGCAGTGCCTTTCACAGGGGGCAGGGGACAAAGACCTGGGCACCCACTCATCTGGAAGATCCCAAAACTTTTCATTACACTTCACGTGAACATCCAGGAAGTGTGTTCTGCAGTGATGTATACGGTAACATTTATCTGTGTACAAATAAAAACTGGTTTTCACAAGTTTTTAAATTTCAACATAGAAACACATTAAAAGGTTTTCATCTGGAAGATATATTTTAAAGGAGCTACCGATTTCGAGTAACATATTCATCTTCATGAAATTCAAAATTGTGCCTCTATAGAAGATACACTGTGAACACATGGAAATGCCTGCCACGGGGGTGAGTGGTTTGGTTTTCTAACCACAGCGCCCACTCCCCTCCATGAACTCCGCACACTGGTGCAGGCTCATCTGCATTTCTTACCAGGGCTGGCCTTGCTCAGGCAGGGGCCCTGGCTCCTTTAAGATCAAATCCAAAGGCCTTGGTGCAGCATTCACAGCTCCCTCTCCCCCCCACCCGACCCCACAGTGCCCAAACATGCCATTCATTTCCAGTCTCTGACTCTGTGGAGAGCTTGGGAGGCTCTTCCTGCTAATTAACCTGCCAAACTTTCTTCTTCCTTCATTGCCCGTGTAAATATCTTCCATCATTGCCCAGTGTAAATATCACCGCCTAGGTGAAAGCTTTCATGCCCCGGGCAAATTAAATTCCCCCTCCTGCTCCCCCCTCTCGCCCCCCCCCCCCCCGCTGTAGTTCAGACTCCTGTTTTTACACCTCTATTCCATTTTTTCATAGACTTGCAGTTATTTACACACACACACGCACACACACACACACACACACACACACACACGTGTGTGTCTGTCTCTCTGCTAGTCTCTGAGGTCCTGGAGGACATCAGTCATGTCTTATTCATGCGGCATTTCCGGGGTCTGACCTGGTGACAGGCACTCAGTGTTTACTGAACAAATGTGAAGATCTTGTCAAGAAACCCATGCACTCTGTCAACCCTTTTCCTCACTGAAACAAGCGGGTCAGAGCTTAATTATCCACTTGTAAAAACATGGATTCATTTAAGCAATTAGTTGCTTGTTCTTTTATCGTGTATTTGATTACCACCCATATGCCAAGCACTGTGGGAGGCCAAGCAGACAGGGAGAAAGGGGTGGGCCAGTTCAACAAGGACCTGGCCCTCATGGAGCCTGCACTCGAATGAGAGAGGCAGACAAACTCGAAGACCAATGAAGACCACAATTCTCAGTGTTGAGAAGGGCCAGGAAGGAAAACACTCGATGATGTCATGGAGAGTGACAGGTGGGAAAGGGAGTGGGAATGGGGGTGGTGGTGGGGGGGAATTCTTGGCCGAAGACCAGAGAATACTCCCTGTTCTTTGGCAGAATTTAAATTAATTAGCTCTATTTTTATAAGGCAGGGAGTGAAAGATGTAGAACACCAAGGAACACACGTTAGTCAAAAGGGTTCTTTTTTGACAATGTTCCTATTATTTTTAGCAAGAATTTTAAAAGTTAATAATCTCATAATATTTACACTAATTTCCTAAAAGCTTATTGCTTTGATTTTTTGCCCTGTTTGTTTCAAAAGCCAGACAGTAAAGCCCCTCACCTTCCGCCTCACACACTCACATATAAGCAGCTCGTGAAGAATAAAGAAGAGAAGCTAGTTCACAGACAAGCTCTTAGGGATATTACCTGATCACAGGTGCTCTGGGGTGAGGCAAATGCCCTCCCTCTTTCACACCCAGATGACTGACAGCAATGACATCCAATTATAGCTTTCCTTTCCTTGTTGAGGCTCTGAGAAGGAGACTATCTACTAGAAATACTACAAAATTGTGGGCAATCACACTCCATTTCTCATGACAGAGAAAGTTAGAAAAACTCTATTAGGACCATCATGTCTTTGTTCCCTTAATCTTGTTGTAACTTATACAAATTATCTCTGGATTGGGATAGCTCCAGTCTTAAGGTATCATATTTTAGGGGCATTCTGCTAGCTTGTCAGCTCCCTTTTTTCCAGATGAAGGACTGTCAGGTGGCAAGAAGTCGAGGTGGACGGGGGAGGACCACTCCAAGGTTTCCTGGTGCAGGAGGACTGCTTTACGAAGGGGGATCAAGGAGGTGCTCTCTGAGGAAGCACCCTTTGCTTGGAGAGAGGAAGAACATGGAACCGTCCAAGCAAAGTATTGGAGTAGGAGAAGAGGGAGCATTTCAGGCCTCAAGTACAAAGAAAGCGCTAGAACAGTTGGAGCAAGGCGTTCTCAGTGGCTAGGGGATGCTGAGAGAGAAAGCAGCAGAAGAGAAAGGAAAGGACCAGATCACACATTTGGAAAACAGCAACCCAGAGAATTAGTCATCCAACAACTTGCTCAGTGTCAGATGCTCCATTAGTATCTTAAGCACTGGGTTTCCAAGAGCTATTCAATTCCGCAGCGGCTGATCATACACACCTTTATTTTCATTCACTGGGAAACGTTCCAAGGAATTTGGAGACCTGAAGTGCCCGGCAGCTATGAGTTCTTACCATGGTGTGCGCTCTGCTCTGTAACTCTGCCACAGTATTCAACTCTCCTTCCTCACACACCGCAGTCTGGACTGCCAACAGCGTCCCACTGCTGTGCCAAGAGAAGGCACACCACCCATTTCATTCCCTGGTATAGTTTACCGTTTATGTGAAAACACTAAGGGAAACAAGCAGTGAGGGGAAAATCAAGCAGTAGGATCTCAACTACATACAAGAGAAAGGAGAGAACAAACCAAAAATTTGGACTAGAAAAAAATGGTAAACAATACACCCATAGGCTAATCGTGGTGGTCTGATTATTGGAAAGAAAAGATATTTTCTCATTTGTTGGTTTGCAATTCTAAATTTTTAAGGTTGTTTATAAAATGAATTTCTACTATGAAAAAAACTTACCTAAAACATTGAAAGGAAGGAGACGTCTATCAGAACACACACACAGACCCGACCCCATGGCAATTATGTCTGTTACTTGTGTTTTGTCTGCTCAGAGGACTCTGAACAGAGTCTTCATACCTGTTGCTGAATATGAGGCTATGAAATTGAAATGTATTTGTGTAATCACTGCAGAAAATGATAATTAAAATAAATGATCAGCCATGCCCAAAGCACAAAGTATAACCAGGAGAGATGCGAATACATGATTTTCCTAATTATACTTCCCTGCATCATATCTGGGCTAACAGTCAACTGAAATATATAAAAACAAATATCAACTCTTCTCTGCAGCTGAACCATTCATTCTCAAAACTAGAATGGTATAATTTTAGAGGTAGAAAAGGATAAGAGAAATCCAACAACACCATTCCTAGCATCTTTTCGTCCATCCCCCCCCCTCTATTCCATCCACATGCTAATGCAATCAGTCAAGGAAGTGAGCATCCACGGGGTCCCCGTGCTGGGCTAAGAGCTTGCTGTGAAGCAAAGAGCATGCTTTTGCCTTCAGAGGATCTACGGTCCAGATGTGAAGACACATCTAACCATTTCCCCAGGTAATGAGTGCTTTAAAAGTGAGGTAGAGGAAGCTATGTGAGCATGGGGGTGAGGAGAAAGGAGGATAGCAGGTGGAGGACGGATGGGTGAACACCTCTGAGAGGTGATGCCTCTACCGGGCATGAAGGATGAGTTCCTGTGAGCTGGCATCCTAAAGAATGAAAGGGTGTGGGACCGAATGCTCATTAGAACTGGAGTGCTCACAGGGGAAGGATACCACATGAATGAAGCTGGAGATGCAGGCAGACTGTGCAGGGCCTTTTAAAGCTCCATAAAGATTTTGGACTGTATTCTGGTAGAAACCGGGAGCCTCTGGAAGGCTTTAACACAGGAATGCCAAGATGAGGTCCACCATTCTGGCTGCAGCATGTGGAACGCACAGGGTGAGAGGATGTCAGAGGGCAGTTAAGACCAACATTAACTAAAGAATTCATCTTGAAAACGTTCTCTCAACATTTTCCTTCCATTGGTCAATGTTCCACCTACACAAAATACCCCATGCCCATTGCTTCTTACAACCTTCTGTTTGAACTAAAAGAAAGGAGGTGTCCAGGCCTGGGAGGAAGGAGCCAGGTGGATAAAGACCTGATGGGATGGGGTTTAGGGGCCCAGGATGCTTTCCTAATGCCTGGGGGGCCCTGGCGCCTGTGAGGATGGGCCACACAAATTAGCAGGAAACTTCTTAAAAAGAAAGTCTGACCTAGTGTTTTCTATTAAACATATTTTCCCCATGAATATGATAATTTTAATATATAACCCAAGTTCACAAATGAGGTCTCCCAGAGTCATTTTGTATATTTTACCCAAAAAGCACTAAGAGTAAGCACAGTGGAGTAAGTGTAAATATTATCACACACACCTCCCATGGCCAGCCCTCTCCCAAAGGGTAACTACAACAAAGTGTAAACAATAGTTAGTAAAGGTAGGTTTGCAAATTCTGTTTAGTGCTTGGGTGGCTCCCCTGACATGACCCAGGCTGCTTCTGGCATTTGTTGAACTAAAAGTTTCAAGATAACAATGTCTTAAATTCTACGCTTGGAGGTTTAGTTCATTGAAGGAGAATGGCGCACACAGAACTTTTCTAATGTTCTGAAGTCTCGTTCTGGTGAGAAAACCTGGGGAGTTTTAAAGACTACAGCGTCGGGGGTGAATGACAAGGATTTTATGGGGCAGCCCCTCCTCACTTCCCCTCTCCTTCCCTCTCTTCTCCTCCCCTCCCCCCTCTCCTCTTCTTCTCCCTTCTCCTCTCCTGCCTCACCTCGCCTCTCTCTCCCTACCCCTTCCCCCCATCTCAATTTGCATTACAGTTTTAAATGACCAGTGAGAAGCAAACAAAAGGATTGGGAACAAGTTTCTAAAATTTCCTTAACCACTTTAGAGAAAATTCTTTGCTACCTCCTGATTACAAGGAAAAAAGGAGAGGGTTGCTGGGCTCCACAGAAATAAGTTCTT